ATAGGAGCATGCCAAATTGAAGAAGAATGTGCTAGAATAGACCAAGAGCGTACAAAATTTTAGTAGTTGCATGATCGATTCAATCATCTTATGAATTTTGTACAACAATAATTTTTAGGAACTAATCTCGGTGGTCTACCAACTCAAATATTATATTTAGTAAATATTTATATTTTTTAATATAAAAAAGCTTATTTTAAGTGTTAAAACTTGTATGATATTATTCAGTAGGTTATTGAGCACGTAGTGACCAAGGTGAAAAAATTTCTTCATCAAATGACAGTCTTCCAAATTTATGCAGTCATCAATTTTATATATTTTAAATTTTTTGGTTAATGTATTAAAAAATTTTGAAAGTTGTTATACTAATTATTAAATTTTATGTTAATTACATGCATATTTGAACATGAATTAAGTATTTATTAATTTCAGTTTCTGAATTTTAGTTCATTTTTATTTCTTTTAACATTTCTTGTTAATGAAAAGAATAAATATTAAAAGAAATTTTTTTAAAAAAAAGTAAATTTCTTAATTTTGTGGTACTTGCATTCAAGAATGCCGTTAAATTCTAAATTTAATGACATTTGTACCATAAAATGATACTAAAAGTAGTGGCGTTCTTATCTAAAAAATGCCGTTAAATTAGCAACGTTCCTATCATAAAAATGCAGTTTAATTAGCAGTGTTTTTTTTATACAAATTAACGGCATTTATCTTGACAAACACTACTAATTTAATGACATTTTATCATATAAACGTCACCATATTAACGGCGTTTTTTTATACAAATTCCATTAAATTAGTAACGTTTTTTAAATACAAACACTACTTAAATAGCGGTATTTATAAAAAACGTCGTTATTTTCCCGACGCGTATATAACCGATGCTCTTAATGACGTTTTTTGCAAACATTGCAAATATTTTAATGACATTTATAAACGCCGCTAAACGTTGAAAAAAATGTCACTAAAAGCCTAAAACCTTATAGTGTTTGCTATCTTGTCATGCTCTTCATCTACAATACTAATTCCTAATTCTTCTTCTTTGTCTAAATGATTATAAACCCACTCTGGGAAGTACACTTGGCTCATATATGGCACTGTTACATCGATATTTTTTTCTTCCTCCAACCATTTCAAGCAAAAGCATTCCAAAACTATAAACATCTGATTTGTATGAAACGTTTCCGAAGTTCCTAGACAATACTTCAGGTGCAGTATAGCCCATGGTTCCTCTTGGTGCTGTCATTGAAACAGCACTTCGCTCTTTGGAACCTAACTTAGCCAAACCAAAATAAAAAATTTTAGGATTGAAGTTCTGATCCAGCAAAATATTGTGTGGTTTGATGTCGAAATGGAGGATTCGTTGCTCACAACCTTGGTGGAGGTACTCAATACCTTTGGCTATGCCTAAAGCAATATCCTGAAGCTTATCCAAGCTAAGGAAACGATTCTCACCCTTGGCTGCGAATATGAATTTCTCTAATGACTCATTCGTCAGGTACTCATAAACGGGGGCTCGATTACATCCATCAGCACAAAAACCAACTAAACGAGTCACATTGACATGATGAATTCTATCCATTGAACCAACTTCATTGATGAACTCTTCACCATTTCCCTTGAAATTATTCAGAACCTTGACAGCTATTGAAACATCATTGGAAAGTGTTCCTTTGTACACGGTACCATAACCGCCCTGTCCCAGTTTTTCCTTGAATTTATAAGCTATCCTCTTAATATCAGCATAGGAATATCTTGACGGCTTAAGAGCTTTGTAATCCTCCAGAAACTGCTCGATTTTGCGTTGCCCCTCTTTCTCTTTTTTATGCAAATGGTGCCGCCAAAAAAGTCCAATGAGACTCGTTACAAGAAGAAATGCGCCTGTGACTAAACCTGGAAAATAATAGGTCGTGGTTAGAAAATTTGAATACTTGATCAGATCATTTCTTTTCTCAATTTAAAACCAATACATCGAACAACGATGTACCTGAAATCATTAGCCTTGTTCTTGGACCTGTAAAACATCCAAAAGTTGTTAGCGCTTTGTATCTCAAAATCAGTGCAATATACGTAATCCTATATAAGTAGTCTAAATATTTTCCCTTTAACTTCATTTCTTGCACTTGTAATTTCTAAAACATTCAATTAATCGACCTTGCAAGTGTTTAAAATACAAGTTTGAGATAGACACGCATATGTAAGATTGAGGTAAAATACTTTCTCAAAAGTTTCCTCAACTTTTGAATAAATTAGATTAAATCATGAGTAAGGAGTAGTATTGATTCAATATATGTTCAATATAAAATGAAGATTAGGATACTTAGCATTTAACCTAGACCTATTTAAGGGCCAGACAATTCATTTAAGTTTTGAGAAAGTTTAGGTAAAAAATTAAAATGCATTAAATGAGTTTGCACACAATTTTTAGATCCGTTTAAATTTTAAATAAGACCTTAAACAAAATATTTAAAACTCAAGCCTAATTCGGCTTGGTCCAAACTCACATATATATAATTTTATTATTTTTATATATATGTGACTATATATAAATTAATTCACATGTATATAAAAATTAAAAATAAAATTATATATTTTTTTATTAAATTTAATTTTTATTTTTATATAATTTCTATTTTTAACTTATATATATAATTTTTAATTTTAATTTTTATACATATGTTAATTAAATATAATCCCTTTAAATTTTATTTAATCATACTTTTTATTTTTATTATATAAATTAAGTTTAATGGATGCGTTTGTGATTTTACTTTAAATTTGGGTTAAGCTTTAAAAAATATTAAAATTCAAAATTTCGGACCGAATTAGATAAGCATATAAATTATTAATGCCAACTATGAGCTTGGTCTGTACCCGACCTAACCTAAACTATGAACATCCTAAACTATGAACATCTCAAATCTAATCTAACTTCTTTGACATGCTATATATATATATATATATCTAGCAATTTCTTAGAAGAATATGTTAAAGAAATTCCGTTAGATGCTAAGCATCCTATGGATATCCTAATCTTTGTTTTTCACTAAAAAAAAGTTTTATTTATTTATTTATTTATTCAAATATCAACATCTATACCTTTTTTTTTTATATTTAGACCAAGATATCTTTTATAAAAAAATGAATTCTTAATTTTATTTATTAGAAATAAATAAAAATTTTATCAAATAATTTTTTGCATATTATTGGACATTTACATTTGGATTTCCTTTATTAAATTCAATTTTAACTTCTCTAAGATAATATTTGCTATGGAATGATTACTCCAAAAATCATGATAATTTACACATGATGATTAGATCATTGTTTGGTAAATACTTGATAATTCCACATAATGATGATCTTGTATCACTAAGAGCGATTGGAATACTATATTGGAAAATTATTTAATTTTCATAAAAAGAAAAAGAAATTTTTATCATTGACTAAAGTAATACGTGAAATTAATAATGGTTAATATTACTTATTTAATATATAAATTAAAAACAAGCTTTCTCTTAAAAATGAAATTATTTTATATTATAAAATTTTATATTGTAAAACTAATATTATTATAATAAGTTCAAAAATAATTTAATTTTATAAATATTTTATATATAATATAATCTTTTTATATGTCTTTTATTATCAATTTAATAGATTAATTTTATTTTTTAATTCAAATATTTTTACATAAGTTATATTATAAAAATTAATTTATCTATCAAAAAATATATTTATTAATTTAATAATATTTTATTATAAAATAATTAATATTTTATAATTTATTATCTTTAAATATTCATGAAATCATTAATTTGTGTAACTATTATATATGTATAATTATTGTCATATTTTTAAATAAAATAATATTTAATTTTTAATAATTTCAAACATTGCAATGTAAAATTATTAAATATTAATTATTGCTAATTAAATGAAATAATTTCAAATAAAAAATTATAAAATTGTCTTAATAATATAATAATTATATTATCATCGCAGTCTTGCAACAAATCCCAAGCGCTAGCTAAGATATTTTTGAAATAATGTTACTCTAACAACACATTCCACAGAAGCTCTGATTTGGAGAAAAACAAGCCTTTAGTTGACGTGAGTATCCGTAGACCACCAATTTTCTAGTCAAAATTGGCGCATTCCTCATCCCCAATTTTCCAAAAAATTGCTCAAAATACACGTAAATAATTAAACAAAGGGTCCACTTTAAAGGTGCCCCATTGTTTAAGTGTAGCAACAGTACAGTGCGTTTGGGAAATCACTTTGCCCCAGTTCAGCCGTAGCTTGCCTTGGCAAGCATTCCCGTGAACCAGTTGACGGCTATAGCCCTCCGTGCACCCCGATTAGAACAACATGGGTGCACTGTTCAACTCTGATGGGTATCGGACAATAATTTCCATACAATTTTTTTTTTCTTTTAGTCTTAAATTTATATTGATAGGACTTAAACACCCTTAAACATAGACACATATTATCATATTGATAAAATTTATCATTATTTATTTTGTTTTAAAATTTTTATTTTGGTATTTATAGTTAAATTTGTTTATTTTGTTATATATTTTGTATTTCATGTGTTTAATATTAATTTATCTAAATAATATTTACAATTGTTATAAGTATTATTTTTCCAAATATTAAATGTTTTAAATTATTTGTTAATTTTTAACACTTAAAATTGTAATTATTATTTGTAATATAATATTATATATATAAATATATTAATTAATAAAAAAAATCTAAATACATGCTCACACCTCTTCTATTTTCTCTCTTTTTTTCTTTCTAATTTAGAATGATTTGTTTTTATTAATGAATGTGAAAAATGATAACTTTTCTTATTTTCTTTTCCCTTATTTTTCTTTCTTACCAAATACACTTAAAATCCATTCTACTTCCCCTTTCCATCCCCACTTCTCATCCTTCTACTTTTCGGTTACACCAATTACGGCCTAAATGAGAATATATAAAATATGAAATGACAAAATAACAACATTTGTTTGCTATCAGCAATTATAGTTTTAACAAGATACATCTCCAAGCCCTTTGAGATACATTTCATAAATATAAAAGTAAGAAAATTAAAAACTGCTGCAATCTGAAAAGTGGTTTTATATATTCTTACTCAGATATAGTTGCTAGTTCTCTGTTAATGGGCTTTCTAGGCTTCATTTCATCTTTAGAGGCAAAAGGATTTGGTGGCATTGTTAGGTTCTCCGCTTCTCCTTCCAACATTTGAACCACATCTTTCATTGAAGGACGATCCACTGGATACCATTGAATGCACCAAAGTCCAACAATTGTGAGTTTCTTTGCTATCTTGTCATGCTCTTCATCTTCAATACTCATTCCTAATTCTTCTCCTTTGTCTAAACGATTATAAACCCACTCTGGGAAGTACACTTGGCTCATATTTGGTACTGTTACATCGATATTTTTTCTTCCTCCAACCATTTCAAGCAAGAGCATTCCAAAACTATAAACATCTGATTTGTATGAAACGTTTCCGAAGTTCCTAGACAATACTTCAGGTGCAATATAGCCCATGGTTCCTCTTGCCGCTGTCATTGAAACAGCACTTTGCTCTTTGGAACATAACTTGGCCAAACCAAAATCAGAAATTTTAGGATTGAAGTTCTGATCCAGCAAAATATTGTGTGGTTTGATGTCGAAATGGAGGATTCGTTGCTCACAACCTTGGTGCAGGTACTCAATACCTTTGGCTATACCCAAAGCAATATCCTGAAGCTTATCCAAGCTAAGGAAACGATTCTCACCCTTGGCTGCGAATATGAATTTCTCTAATGACTCATTCGGCAGGTACTCATAAACGAGAGCTCGATTACATCCATCAGCACAAAAACCAACTAAACGAGTCACATTGACATGGTGGATTCTACCCATTGAACCAACTTCATTGATGAACTCTTCACCATTTCCCTTGAAATTATTCAGAACCTTGACAGCTACTGAAACATCATTGGAAAGTGTTCCTTTATACACAGTACCATAACCGCCCTGTCCCAGTTTTTCCTTGAATTGATATGTTATCCTCTTAATATCAGCATAGGAATATCTTGAGGGCTTAAGAGCCTTGTAATCCTCCAGAAACTGCTCGATTTTGCGTTGCCCCTCTTTCTCTTTTTCATGCAAATGGTGCAGCCAAAAAAGTCCAATAAGACTCGTTACAAGAAGAAATGCGCCTATGACTAAACCTGGAAAGTAATAGGTCGTGGTTAGAGAATTAAAATGCTTGATCAGATCATTTCTTTTCTCAATTTAAAACCAATACATCGAACAACGATGTACCTGAAATCATTAGCCTTGTTCTTGGACCTGTAAAACATCCAAAAGTTATTAGCACGCTATGTACCTCAAAATCAGTACAATATATGTAATCCTATATAATTAGTCTAAATATTTTCCCTTTAACTTCATTTCTTGCACTTGCAATTTCTAAAACATTCAAAATTGGTTGACCTTGCAAGGTTAGTAAGTTCGAGACAGACACGCATATGTAAGATTAAGGTAAAGTACTTTCTCAAAATTTTCCTCAACTTTTGAATAAATTAGATTAAAACATGACTAAAAGGTAGTATTGATTCAATATACAAACATATATATATATATATATATATATATATATATAGTCCTTGGTCGGAATATTGGTTCAACATAATCAAGCAATTTCTTAGAAGAGTTTGTTAAAGAAGTTGGGTTAGATGCTAAGTATCCTAATCTTTGTTTTTCACTAAAAAATGTTTTATTTATTTTATTTTACTTAAATTTCAACACCTAGACTTTTTTTAGTTTTTAGACTAAGATATCTTTTATAAGAAAAATGAATTTTTTTATTTTATTTATTAGAAATAAATAAAAATAATGTCAAATAATTTTCTACATTTATATTGTTGCACTTTTGCATTTGAATTTTCTTTATCATATGCTATTTTAACTTCTTTAAGGTAGTGTTTGATATAGTATGATCGCTCCAAAAATCATAATAATTTACACATGACAATTAAATTATTATTTGATAAACATTTGGTGATTGTACATGATGGTGATTTTAAATCATGAAAAGTAATTAGATCACTGTATTAGAAGGTAATTTAATTTCTATCTAAAATGATAAAAAATTTTAATCATCGAAGTAAAGTGATACATAAAATTAAAAATCTCAATATTACCTATTTAATGTGTGAATTAAAAATTTGCTTTCTCTTAAAAATGTAATTACTTTATATTATAAATTTTTATATTTTAAAACTAATATTTATTATAATAAGTTCAAAAACAATTTGTTTTTTATAAATATTTTGTATATAATATAAAATTTTTGTTTTTCTTTTATTATGAATTTAATAGAGTAATTTTATTTTTTAATTCAAAGATTTTTTACATAAATTATATTATAAAAATTAATTTATCTATCAATAACTGTATTTATTAATTTAATAAATATATTTATATTTTATCATAAAATAAATAAAAAAATATTATTAATATTTTATAAATTATTATTTTTAACTATTATTAAAATCATTAATTTGTGTAACTATTATAATATGTATAATTATTTTAGTATATTTAAATAAAATAATATTTAATTTTTAATAATTTCAAATACAATAATATAAAATTATTAAATATTAATTATTATTATCCAAATTAAATGATTTTAAATTAAGAATAATAAAATCATCGTGATAATATAATCATATGATCTTGTAACAAAGCCAAAACGTTACCTAAGATATTTTTGAAATAATTTTACTCTCAACAACACTTTCCACGCAAGCTCTAATTTGGTAAAAAACGAGCCTTTAGTTGATGTGCGTAGCCGTAGACCACCAATTTTCTAGTCAAAATTGGCACATCCCTCACTCCCTTGTCCCCTTCCTCATCACGAATTTTCCAACAAATTGCTCAAAATACACGCAAATAATTAAACAACGGATCCACTAAGTGTGCATCATTATTAATTTATTTGGATGAGCGATAGAAATTAATTTTAATAAAATTAAAAATAATAATAAATGTAAAATTAATTATTATAATAATAAAATTAAAATTAGTAATAAAAATATGTATTTAGAGTTATTCAAGTTTATAAAATTTTTTGTATGATTAGTTATTGAATTATATTATTTTATTAATAAATAAAATTTTTTAAAAATTTAAATTTTTATGTATTTATTTTAAGGGTTTTTTAAATTTTATATTTATTTATTAACGAAATGTCACTATTTAATTCAATGATACTATATAAATTTTATATATTTTTAATATTACAATAATTTAATAATAAAATATTAAGTACGTTATTGAAGTTTGACTAACCCCGACTTAAATTTTCGAGTAATCTCAACCCGATTCAATACTTCTCTCGAGTAGGGATAACCATATAGAAATACAAGAAACTCTGAGTTTTCATGTGGTTTTTTATCCTCCAAAAATTCTCATACAATTGCCTCTTAATGATAATCTTAGTGTATAATTGGCTGGACTAAATTCATTAGTAAAAAAAAAAAAAACTAACAATTACGCCAAAATTAGATCTCAGAACATCATCGGTGAATAAACATACCTTTATGTTCCCCGGGAATGTCATAGCACTCGGTGCCCGACGCGTTAGTATTATTGGGACGACATCCTTGGCCTTTTGCTTCACACGATCCGCACTCTGGTTTGCTCCAATTAAAATAAAAATATTTCTGGTTAGGTATTACCATCCCTCTTGGAACTTCGAAGATATCTATGGTCTTCCCGCAATATAACAGGTCACTGTCTGCATAATCAGAATCAGTGTATTTAATGTAGAAACCAAGCCTCTTACTTAGGCAAGGGATCATGTGATTATCATGGCCGGATTGATTTTTATCTGAACATTCGAACAAAGTGAAGTTTCCCAGCTCGTCGTGATAGTAGTAATTTTGGTACGAGCTGAACATGTAAGGGGAATCAGATAAAGTGAGATTTGGAAGCTGCCTTTGGACACAACGATCTTCATCATACACCTGAATCCTCTGATTTACATAATCTATACGCTTCACCAACAACTTGACCGAAACGGGCAGCTCCAGAACGGTCTGTTCCTTGTTGTTGCAGGACAGGTGAAACCCAGGTGAGCCACAGTGGTCCGGATGCCGGCCCTTCAACCGGAAGGGGTAATGGACAAGTGGCCCACCGCGTTTGCATCTTATTGCCCGGCAATCATCCTGATCTGGTGGCGCTGGACCATGACCAACTGCTGCAGCACTCAATACCAAGAGGAAGTGAAAGAAAACAATAACCATTTTTTTTTATCGAATCTGGATGGGCAATTGTCTACGCTTAGATCCTGAACCAGTTGCCTTTTATTTATTACATTAAACAATGCGAGCGAGGAGACGACTGAATTGACAAGTCAACTTATGTTTCTGTTATTTTACATTTCTTTCTCTTTAGTTTTTGCCTTTTTTTTTTCCACGACTTTTTTTTCCACATCAAAGCATTTTTTTAATCTAATTTATTATATTAAGATAATTTTTAATCTTAATTATCAATACATATACTTCGTACACATGACTTTTGTTATTAATAATTGAATCAAATTTGTGGATGATTATTTTGATAATATAAAATTCTGTATTTTTTATAACAGAAATATTAACATGGTAGTTGTCAATCAAGCATAAATATTTAAAATAAAATAAAAATATATTAATTATGTTAGTAATGAGGTGGTGATATGAATTACGTAGGTTATAGATAATTAGTTTTAATATATTTTTATTCTAATAATATTTTGTTTATTGATATTGTTATCATTATTAATGAAATATAATTATATTCATATTCGCATATATTAATATTTTCAAAATTATATAATAAGATAAAAAGTTATTTTTGATAAAAAAATTATCAAGATAAAATATTAGACTCTTAATTCTAATAATCAAGTTTAAATTTTAGGAATTTCAAGAACAACAACAATAAAAAACTATGACTTATATCCCATAATTCTAGGATTTGTTATATGAAAGACAAAAAAAAAAAAAAAACATAAAAAGTAGTAGTTTTGAATCTTCTTTCATTACTCATTTTTATAAAATATAACATTTCTATTTTTTTTTAACTCTCGTATCATTTTTATTATTTACATTTTTTTATTTCGTTGTCTACTTTTAGAAATTTTGATCTTTCCTAAATCTATAAACTCATTTTTCTTAATCGATGTACGAATAGGCTTACATTTTCCATATCCAAACCATCTCAAAAGGTCCTCTCTCATTTTTTTTCAATTTAGATTATCCTTAATTTTTTTTTAATCTCTTCATTTTTTATTTTCACTTCTATTCCATCAAAACATTATCATTTTAGTTACACTTATTTTTTCTCATTTTGTTTCTTAACAGTCCAACACTCACTTTCATAAAACAATGCAAGCCTTATAATTATTTTATACAACTTTACCTTTAACTTTAAAGACATGCTGTGATCACATAATACGTTCGACGCATTTCATCGCCTCACTTATCTTGTTTGAATTATATGATTTACATCTCTTTCTTTCTCATCGTTGCTTTGAATAATTGACCCAAATATAAAAATGACTACTCTTTGGTATTACCTCATCATCTAATTTAATCACATTAACACTTGCTTCCATGTAATTACTAAACTTATATTTCATATATTCAGTTTTAGATTTATTCAATTTAAAAGCTCAAGACTCTTGTATATGCCTTTATAATTTAAATTTCGTATTAAAATCATCACTAATTTCAATAACTAAGACTATATTATCGGCAAATAACATACATTATGACACCTTGTTATGGATATGTCGATTGATCTCATTTATAACTAATGCAAAAAAAAAAAAAAAAAATTAGCGCCAAGCTTTGATGCAATACTGAGGTAATTGGAAAGCTATCAGTCACACTCTCAAATGTCCTCACATTCGTTATAACTCCTTCATATATATTTTTAGCTATATTAATGTATTTTAAAAGAACTCTTTTTTTCATTAAGGCTCGCTAGAGCACATTTTTTGGGAACTCTATTATATACTTTTATCTAGTCGATAAATACCATATGCAGATCATTTTTTCTTGTTTAAAAACCGTCCAATAGAAGTCTCAATAAATGAATTACCTCTATTATGGAGTGTCTTAGTATAAACCCAAATTGATTTTCATAAATAGTGAGTTAGTAACCTCATGTCATAAATTACATTCAATTACTCTTTCAAAGTTTTATAATATGACTTATAAGTTTTATTCTTCGATAGTTTGAACAATTTTATAAATGTATCTCTTTTATTCTTATATTAAAATACTAGTGTATTTTTCGTCTATTCTTTTGGTATCTTTTGAGTTGGTTAAATTTTGTTGATTTAAAAAAATCTTTCAACTATCTTTATTTCACCCAAACAATTCAAATAAAAAAATTATTTTTGAATAGTAATATTTTTCATAAAATAAAATATATTATTTAGTTATTTTCTTGAACATTGAATCATTTAACCGCATCTATCGTCTCATTTATATGTATTTTGTTTAAAACTTATCATCATATTTAATAAAAAAAAAAAAAAAAAACTTCATCATATGATTAACATAAATACTCAAATCAATCAAACATAAACCCACTGTATAACGAGGGCATTTTCTTGTTAGTCTCGTAAAGAATGTCATGCTTTGACCTTTTTTATACAGATATGCCAGAGCCTTTTCTTATTATTCAAATAGGCCAAAGATTAAGGGAAAGAAGAAAAAGAATTTACTAAATATTAGGGATTGCAATAATTCACCTCTTAGAAGGAGATTAATGAATCATTTAAAATTAATCCATAATTAAGAGATGTGGGAATATTAAATTACTGATACCTTAGTATTGGGTTACTGGAATATGATCTATCACAATAATTTTTTTTAAAATACAAATAATTTCTTTATATATATGTATATATATATATATTTAAATTTTCAAATAAATCAAGAAGTTGAAACAAAGTTTCTATTGAAAAAGAACTCAAAATATTCCAGCAGCCAAAATCCAAAAAGTGTGATACTATTTTATGATTCGGAGACATTCATTTTTACGTATGATTTTGAGCTTCTCATAAATTGTGACAGAAAAATCAAGTGTAAGGTAAGAATTGGTCGTAAAACACAACATACTTGTTTAATTTTTTTGATGATTTACATGTACAAGAAATTATTGGACAAAAGCAAAACTCCAGTATTTATCTCTTATCTTTTTTTGAACCAAATTTCTTCTTTTCATTTATGAAATATCAGTAACAATAGAATTGTTATTGAGGATTTCAGGGCATTCATCAATCCAATACATGTCCTCAGTAACAGTAAGCCCATGTTTAGCTACTATATGTGCTTCATTGTTTCCACTTCTGCTGGTGTGCATGAAACAACATCTTGCTAAAAGTCTAGCACAACTCCTGGCTTCATCAATTATGTCTCCCACAGTGGATAGATCTGGTTCAGTCGACTTCAGGATTTTAATTACTCCGTAAGCATCCCCTCAATCTCCACACATTGAAGACCCTAATTCACGGCAAGCTCAACCGTCTTTGCTGCTGCTATAGTTTCCACCATAAATGGATCCACAACCCTGTTTACTGAGGCAGATATTGCTCCCATCACCTCGCCCTCTGAGTTTCATGCAATGATACCTATCCTGCCCTTCTTCCTTTCCTTATCAAAGGCCCCATCAAAGTTTAGCTTGTAAATACCCCTTAAAGGAGCTTTCCAGGTCGCCGTACCAGTTGTGGTGCATTGCTTTCAGCTGCATGTGCTTTGTTATAATCATCTAGATACTGCATAATGAAGCTTGCCACCACTAATGCTTCTCTTCTTCCTTCTCTATGCAGTTCTTTGTTCCACTCGTTCCAGATTGCCCAAACCTTGACTGCTAACTGCTGGAGTTGCTTATTTTGGTGTCACTTTATTATTATTTTTCTGGTGTCACTTTAACTAGTATTTTAAATTATAAATCCATCACACATTTAATTAACTACCCCAAAGAATGACACATCATGTCGCTTCCATTATGATCCTGGCATTTGGCTAATTTAAGTTTTGCTCATTCAATTTCAATTCCATAATATTATCAAAATTTCCTTTATTTAAAGTATTATTCAAACATGAAATAAAAAATAACTAAAATCAAAAAATTATTACAATTATAAAATAGTAAGATTCTAAAAAAAAAAAAATACTATTAAGGCTTACAATGTAAAAAAAATATATATTTAAAAGCATAATTATAATTAATAAGTCATGAACAATGCAAATATTATTTTAATAAAGATGTAAAAGACTTTTATTTTGTTTAATCTGATATTATTCCTTTTAAAACAATTTAATTGAATTGTTATTTTATTAGCATAAGATGTCCAACGAAGTGAGAAAAAGTTATTGAAGTTTCCGTTGTCCTTTCGCGCGGATTAGAATTTGTGGGTTGAAGCTTTTCCTTGTTCTGACTTTTGACCCATTCAACAAAGGCATATGAAAGCCAAATATATATATATATATATATATATATAAGCCCCCTTGAGAAGCATACGAGTCATTTTCTTCGAAAGATCGATGGACCCACCCATCCTCTCCGCCCCAATGTATTAGGATTCTCATCAATTTGTGGAGTATTATCATTTTAGTTTACTGAGTCTCTTAGTTTTATCCCATTCAAAATATCTTACATGTTAAAAAAAGTATGAATATTTATATCTTAAAATTAATTTTAATACATAATTGATATAAAATTTATGGCTTTTTTCTAGAATCACAACATCTTTCCTTATTCTAGACTCATCATCTTATCGTTACTATTCCAAAGTTGGCTCTATTACCAAATATCATTGTTCACATCAACTTACAAAGTATTATCCATTTCGACTCATTAAATTATATGGGTTGAACTTATAAAAGGCATATCACAAGTTAAAGGCAATGTGAATATTTATATCCTAAATTTGACTCTAGTACACAACTGATGTGAGAGTTATAACTCATCTTTAGAATTATAACAATAAGAACTACAAGATCACATTAGGATTTATTCAAGGATTCAAAGCTCCATTATATACTTATCATAATATTCAAGTCCAAGAACTTGCTTATTAAATATAAAAATTATAGAGTCACTATCAATTTTTTTTTTGCCTAAATGTGATTGACTACCTATGTAAATCTATCATTTTAAAGGTTATCCTAAATTTAAACTAAGGGTTTTTAAAAAGAATAAGTTTTGGTCTATATTAATAGAACTAAGTTCGAGAGTCAGTTACATGCAGAGAATTAGCACCTTATTATGCCCAAAATTGGTGTCAAATTAATCACATGTTAGTTTGTTTAAATCTTAATCAAAGATAGCTTTTTATTGTTAGTTTCGATTTTTAAAACATTGGAAAAAAGTCTTTAGATTTTCATCAAAAAATTTTTTTTTCTCACTTCAAGAGTATTCA